TGGTATTACTTACAGTGGGTGAGGTGCTAGCACCCCCGAGGTTTGTGAGGTAACGGGCGGTGCCGACTGTGTAGACGGTTCGGTGGGTACGACGTGTTGACAGCCGCAGGATACTGCAGCTCCCATGCTTCCCAACGTGTCCAGGCCCAGTATGAGGTCGTCTATTGCACGTGCCATGATGTATAGCACTGCGTGGTACATCGCTTGTCCGAGACGAAACTCGATCTTCATGGCCTCGAAAACCTTGCTACTGGTACCGTCGGCCATGTGTATCTCGAGGGCTACCGTTATTCTTTCTCCGCTTCCTACGGTTGCCATATATTACGCTAGGATGGTGGATATGAAACTCTTCGAGGCGGCGGTATCGATGACGGCCTCGACTAGCTCCCTACCCAAGTAGACCACGGCGTACAGTCGACCGTGATCCTGACGCATGGTTATGGGGGTCTCGGCGCTGGGTTCGGTGGGCTCACAGCGCCGTGTTCTTGGATTGTGCGGACATTGGCTCGACCGCACTCCCAACAGAATAACTTCCGCGCGTTGCGGCATCGCCTGGCATAATGTCCTTCCTGCCCACATCTCCTACATACGTTGATGGAGTCGAAGCTCTGGTTCCTGGATAGGCCATGACGCTGTGTGTCCGTCGCTGAGTGGTGTGGTGTAACTGGCGGGTGGTGTTGTGTCGTCCGCACCAGTGGGGTGCGATGAGATGATTCGCCTGATTGCGTGGTGGTCCTCATCGGGTTGTCGACGGTAACATGCCTTGCAACCTCCCGTCGTGATGTTCCCGCCGTCCGTCTATGGCTCTCGTGGATACCCTCGTACTCTTCCGTGAGTGTGAGTAGTTCTGATAACGTGGCGAAATCCCGCCGCCGAATGTATAACAAGTAGTCGGGGTGGCTGATGCGGAAAACTCTTTCCAATCGCTGCTCGCTGCTATAGCCGGCGTGTCGCATCAGGTTTTGTATCGCGATGACATAATCCCTATATTTCTCCCTTGGATACTGCCTTCTCTGCCGTATGTCGTCCTCGAGGCGTTCGAAATAGCGGGCTGGCAGAAAGAAACGTAGAATGTCGCGCTTGAAGGTTATCCAGCTCCTCCAGTGGTCGTTGTTGTTGCGATACCAGTGAAGAGCGGTGCCGCACAGTAGTAGTAGGGCATGGTTTTTGCGAGGAGGTCTACGTTCAAGGCATACACCTCGGCCAGCTCCTAGNCATTGGTGGCTGGTGCTGGTGTAATGGTACCGCCAACTGGCTCTGTGTCGTGTTTTCCATGAAATTAGTCGTACTCTCCCCACGTTCATCCGGTGACACTGGTGTTTTCTGCTCATCCTCGTCTTCCGATGCCGCCTTGTTGTCTCTATTGGTGATTTCCTTCTATCGCCTGGAATTTGGCATGGATCTCTGAGTCGGCATGCTCCTTGGCCGCCAGCGCCGTTATGCGCTTGCGTATTTCTCGGGCGGTACCCGCGCACTCGATTCCCAATTCCTGTACGATGGATACTAGTTGCTCCATGGGTATATCACCTAGCCATGCTGTGTTGATTACTTCCGCCATTTTGTTCGTATCAAATATATAGTAATTTTTCCTTTGCACGCGTACGATCTACCAAGTGTCCCTGCTCGGGCGCCAATTGTAACGAAGCATTTTTGCTAGCTCGATGCTTCTTCGGTTCGGGTTCGTTACAATAAATTTGTAGTTTCGGGGCTCTGGTAAATCGTACTTTATTATTTAATTTTCCTTAATTTCTATAAAAAGAACATATAACAAATAACAATTTGAAACATTCGGAAGTGTCACTGGCCGTGGCTGTGTAACGGCTCCTTGTTCCGTTATGAGCCCGGTAGGCTGCAGTGGCGTGGCTTTATTACTGGTGGGCAGCGCTCTGCTGACGCCGCTGAGTGGCGCGCTGCTAACGTCTATAAGTGGTGTTCTGGCCGCGTCGGTATGTAGCGCTCTTGCAAGGTGGGTTGCGCTCTGGTCGTGCCGGTGAGTGGCGCTCTGATGACGCCGGTATGTGGCGTTCTTGTAATGCGGAGAGTAGCGCTCTGGCCACGCCGATGTGTAGTGCTCCGGTGACGCCGGAGAGGAGCGTTCTAGTTGCATCGAGATGTAGCGCTCTCAGCAATGCAGGTGAGCCGCACCGATGAGTGGTACTTTGGTGATGCCGGGTGCAATGTCATACTCGCGCCGCTGGGCGGCGCTCTGGCGACGTTGACAAGTGGCGCTCTGTTCGCGCCAGAGAGTACCGTTCTACTCGCGCCGTTGGGCGGCGCTCTGGCGACGTTGACAAGTGGCGCTCCGTTCGCGCCGGAGAGTCGCTCTAGTGGCGCTGTTGACGCCGCTCTGCTGACGGCGGTGAGAAGCGCTCTTGTAGGCGCTGTCGACGTCCCTCCGCGGTGCTGACTGCGGGCGAGCGGGTGTCGCCCGTACGCGGTTCCACGAGAGGCTGTGGTGAGAGCGTGTGTTGCTTGTGGCGCTGCCACTGGAAAGGTGACGTCCAGCCCGACGCTCAAGCCGGTGCAGAAGTGGAATCCAGCCCGATGCTCGAGCCGGTGCAGAAGAAGTGACTTCTTGCCAGTAGCCGTAAGTTCACGACCACAGTCTCGTGCTGACTGACTGGTTTCTTGTCGTGCTATTCCATTAATAGGCTATGTGCTGAAGTTGCGTGGTCGCGCAGTTACATGTTGCTGTGTGATGTTGCGTTGTCGTGGCAACGAAGAGGTTGTCGAGTGTTGCTATGACTTGTGTTGCCGTGATTTGCTGCGTGGCCAGTTGCGCTGACTTGTGTTGCTGTGGTGTGACTGGTTTGGTTGGTGGTGCGGGAGTTTGTGTGGGCTAAATTCTCTGGAGACATTTAGTCCTCACACAGTCAGCCAGATAAAAATCTGGGTCGTTGCATTTACGTAGACCCGACTGCCGTGGGAACGTCAGGACTGTAGTAAGGCCAGGCGCTGACAAGCAACTTTTCGCCATGCGAGTGTTTTGCTGCATTTTTCATTTGTTTAAAAACACTGTTTCATCGTTCCGTAATTCATACAGCAAACAAGTTGTATGCCTTCGCCAAGCCTAACAGACTAAAAAAATCAGGGCTCGAATCGTCACATACGATAGCGTACCGCTCATCACGTAAAAACACATTTTTCGGATTATGATATACGTGAACGTACTCTTTGTATCACGTAATTTTCTTTCGTATCATTTTCGATCCGTGAACGGATGTTACGATTCGAGCCCAGGTTTTAATGATACAAACTTTCACAATAAACCACGCTCTATCTTTGTTATAGTCAAAATTATATTTAAAATATTAAAATTTAGGTGCTTTGAATTCTTTAAATTAAGTTTTAATTTTTTCTATACCTTCACATTTTTTTAGGGGATCCACCTAAAATGCAGGAAGAACCTTTAAGAATATTTATTTTCCCCATATACTCATATTCTGAGTTCGTATAGAACATCCTGTTTCTCCTCATTTTATCCGAAAGCAGAGTTGAGTGTGTCTATAATTTAGTTAACTCGATTAATACATACAGACACTTGTGTACGCGTACGCGGCAGCGTACACCTCCTCTTTGTCTTTACCCTAGGTTTTTGCAAATGTACCCCCTAGAATATTCAGGTTGTTCACTATCGGAACTGGTGTATCATCGACGTGACTGTCTGGTTGAAGCCTGACATCCGTCGTCACCCCGAAGAGCGTCACCATTGATTTGTTAGGGAGAGGGTTGTGTTCATCAACGTATGAGATCAGAAAAACTCCCTCCAATAGCTGAGGAAAAAGTTAAACAATAGCGGGCACCACTTGCTCGATTCTCCTTGATTAAAAAGTTTGATCTCGAAAGGTTACTGACGACTGTTGAGCACTCATATAACTCACCAAGCACCGTTTGAGTCCCCGGGGGCAAGTGTCAAACGCCTTTAACAAGTCCAACGTCTTTGACAAGTTCAACGCCATTGGAACGGTTCTCTCACAGGGGCGATTTCAGTTTAGGCCACGAGTTATCTGAGTGTTTATTGCGTTAAGTGCGATGGTGGTGCTGAGCACTTTATGGAAGCCATGCTGATGCTTCGCTGCTGTCAGGTGTCACGTGAAGTACGGAAGCAGCGGGGCCTTAAGCGTCTTCACTACTGGGGAAAGAAGTTATCGGCCGATAAGACTTACCACTTTTGGCTGGTTTTCCCGGGTTTAGTAGTAAGACCTCACTCAGCGATTTCCATATATCTGGAGTTATAAGGGCAACCAGCGACAGGTTGAGGGCGTTGGTAAGATATGCTATTCCCGCCGGACCCAATTTTTTCTGCATCAGCTTGGTTATTCCGTCGGGCTTTCGCCTTCCCGACGGCCGCAAGCTGAAATCGTAAGAGTGAGACACCAACATGGGAACTTGATTCTTACTCCTCCGCTCAGTGAGTCCTTAACAAATAGAAACTAACGTTCAATGGGACCATTTCTCGTTTTTTACGTCAGCACTGTCAAGGAACCTAATGGATTTTGCAGAATCGTCATTTTATCATCGATGGTTATAGAGCTGAGCTATTTAAATATGACTGCGAAGAGTTCATTAATGAGGATATCTCTCTGAACTTTATCACTTCTTCAATGCACAGAGCGAAATCCTCTCTCCGACGAAATATACGGCGACCCTCTCCATCGATTTGGTGAAGGAGAGACTTCAACTAGGCATTCACGTCGATAGTACACCAAATCCGAGGGGGGATAAACGAAAATCCTGGGAGTTAGCCTCCCAGCCTTATCCTGAGTTTCGTCTGAAAAAATTTCTCCCGAAAATTTTTCATCCGCCCATAGTAAATACACGGAAACACAAAATGAAAAGTGAACCGGTTCGGGGAAAATAATCGGTTTCTCAAGAAAATTATCTACTTATCCAAATGAATGTATAAAAAAAGTGCATATCTAAGACGCGGTTGCAATATTAACGTGGAATTGAAATTACTTCTTTTTTTTAAATGTTATCTGTCTACATACATATCAGTTTGAAGTGAAGCTGAAGATGCATTCGAAATTCAAAGACCTTTTATATATGTCATTAAAAACGCGTAACTGCACCCCAGGCTGATATCCTAGACAGAGGAACAATACCAAAAACATCATTCTCAACTCTAAGCTGGCATTGCTAATTTTTGGATTTCCATTACAAATTTCTGTTCAGGTTCTTGTTAAGTTAAGATGTGTTTGAACTTCAGAGAAAAATATTCATTGATTACAACACAGTGGGAATTACATATGATTTCTAATTTAAATAGTTCCAAAATTGAAGTTTGGCCCTAACGCAGCCACTTTTAAATAAAATAAACTATTTTAAACAATGTCAAATATTCAAAGCTTTATTTAATAATTTGTATGTAAAAAAAACCTAAGCAATACACCTCAATTCCAGTAAAAATAAAAAAATAAAGAATTATTAAGGGAATGTTGAATAATTTTCCGCAATTTACCTCCAGGCGGTAGTCGCAACAAAACCAATAAAAATAATAGTGTAATTCAAACTATGCTTATATGAGTGTATACATATGAATGAATGAATGAATGAAATAATCAAGTTCTAAGTAGTTCACTTCAAAATGTCGAATGGGTTATAATATTTGCGTGAGTTATGAAAACACGGTCAGTTTGACGAAAGCTCAGATCTACGTGCTTTTATAAGAGTAAAAGCTTTCCTGAATGAGCATTTCATAAACGCGAGCGTTTTTTGGACTTTTATTATCACCACCGTATAAATGTACTTCCATAATACCGGTGGAATCTTGCTGATGCGCGCCGGCGCCACCAGTTGCTGCACCAGCCACATCGATATCTTCTGGGCCCATTAAATCACTCATATTGAATACAGCACTACTTTCCAAACATTTGGGATCTTTTACGATGCGAGCGATCAGTGTGCGCTTAAGCAACACATCTTGCAATGCCTGACGTATGTCCTTTTCACGTAAACGCGGATTTGGCACCAATCCATGTAGACGTGCACGTATTGTACGCAGCGGCCAGCTTATCAATTCGAGCGGGCATTGCCTCAGATTTGTGGTCAACACCGATGCGGTATTTAAGTAGTCGACATAGAGTACATCCACTTGCTTTGCGACTGGATTATGCGAGCGTATGAGTGCGCGATACCACTTTCTATCCTTGTGGTAAACGGCGAGGCAAATTGTACGTGGTTCAAAATCGGTGAGGTAAGGTGCTGACTTCACCAGATGTTTGATACGTCGTTCCAGTTCCAATTCACGATATTCAAATTCGGTGAGATGTGGCAGGATTTGTACAATTGTTGGTGTAACGATGCAGGCGACACTACATTCGAAGGTGCGTTTACCGACCGGCAGTTGGGGATTTTTGAAACTTTCTATGCCACTAAAGTGCGAGAATACCGATGAAGTTTCATTCGGATAGAATTTGTCGAAAGCGGAAGTATCCAAATTCTGGAAATGTGATAATGAAATTAAAGGTAGTTTTTACATTCGCTACGAACGGAAAAGTAATAGAAAAAAAATAAAAAAAAATACAATTGTAAGAAAAAATAGGTTCTAAATCAATCCGGTCACAAATTTTATTAATAGGTACATTTAGGATTCGGGTTCAGTTTGTTTCTGGTCTTTAGCAAAAGTGGGCGGCNCTAAAGTGCGAGAATACCGATGAAGTTTCATTCGGATAGAATTTGTCGAAAGCGGAAGTATCCAAATTCTGGAAATGTGATAATGAAATTAAAGGTAGTTTTTACATTCGCTACGAACGGAAAAGTAATAGAAAAAAAAACAAATTTTATTAATAGGTACATTTAGGATTCGGGTTCGGTTTGTTTCTGGTCTTTAGCAAAAGTGGGCGGCTGTTAACAAAAACAAAAAAAATCCTCAAAAAATTTATTCGAAAAAGTTTGTATAGCACAGCCAAAGGAGAGACAAAAATGGGTAATAATAGGCTCATATAATCTTCATCGAGATATTAAAATATATTTAAATTTGTGACTCGTGGGATATGTCATTGAGACTGGTGTTAAGTAATTGAATAAAACAAAAGTTTCCACAAAAAAAAAATTATAACTTTTTTTGTTTATGATTTTTTAATATTTTTCAGCAGATCAATGAAATGTAGTAATTTAAAAAGACGTTACTACTGAAAAAGATATAATTAGGGTATTTTAAAATTTATGTCGCTTTTCTCTTTTGCATGGAATTACCTATATTTCTTTTACATTTCATTCCAGTCGATTTTAACTTACACAGTACCAACGCACTGTAGGGAAAATCTCAAATCTTGAAATTACACAAAAAACGCCGAAAAACGTGAACTTAATTTTGAGATGTAGATTAAGAATCTGTATTTTTTTCAGGTCATTTTCCCAAGATATTTTAATTTTTTTGTTAAATATTCAAACTTTAACAGTGAAAATTAAAAAAATACAAATTTTTTGTAATTTTTTTCATTGAAAAAAAATATTCCAAACTTTAACAGGGAAAATTAAAAAAAAATTACAATTTTTTTTTTTGTAAAATTTTTCATTTATGTTAAAGCACATTTATCCATTCACAATGGACACTTAAAATGAAAATAGCTTGGGAATATTAATTGATCTAGAAAAACGGTATACAGATCCGTAATGTCCGAAAATTTAGTTTACAGTGTCGGCGATTTTTTGTGTAATTTTAGCGTTCCCACAGTGTAATTAGGGCGTCACTTAAAGTATACTTTAATTTGACTATGACTACGGGCCACATTAAACCCGTTTCCATATGAAATTTTTTTAATGGCATACATTTTTTGTAATTTCAATGGCTAGTGGAAACACGGCGTGATTCTAAAACACCCTAGCATTGACTTACTTGCCGTGGACGTAGAGCAAAGCTGGCGCTGTCAAGTATTTCCATTTCTCTTCCTTTTACCTTATCCCGTGTTCGCTGCTGCTCCTTTGCCATTTCCTTTTCTCTTATTTTCTCTTTAGCCTTTTCACGTTCAACTTCATCGTCTGTATTATGCCAATAGTTCAGAGCGAAACTTTGTTCCAATTCTACAATGGCTGCATCATCATCATCATCGCCAAGGCCCCAACCCGTAGCGCCAGCCCCAACATCTCCAACATCATTGTCACTTTGCATTATTGCTGCTAATTCGTTTTGTATGAAATTCTCACTGCCATACAAATTTTCATGTAGCATTTGTTTATGCAATTGCTTGTATTCGTTGGAGTCGAACATGCGTTTCTTACAAGGCGGTACAAATGTTTGTTGATGTGGGTATTGTTGCTGTTTCATTGCCAATTGTGCGGCCTGCGCTGCCTGCATCGGTGAAAGGGCATTATTTAATTCGTCATTAGCGCTAGCATCACTATCTGAGTGAATATTATCGTGGTCCAAATTGTATAAGAGCTGATCGAGGCAATCATTGACCGTATCATCATTGTCACCATCATCCTCATCGAAAGCGTTTATTTCCTCTTTGATGTCGTCATCATGATCGGGGGGTTCAGGTTTGAAATGTTTGAATTGGAACTGTGAAGAAAAGTTATACAAATAGTTAATGCGAATAAGGAAGCAAGTTATATGAAATCAAGTAATTTAAAAACAAAATTTATTTTAAGACCTTTTATTGGTAGTAAGTAAAAAATAGAAAAATCGACCCTAGAACCAACTAACGGCTGAATTTTTTTGAAATATCTCGAA